CGGTGTGTGAGCGAGAAAGTATTCGAGCTTGCGCGCATCGCGTTACACACCTAATTTAAAAGAAAAAGCAAAATTTGTCATGGAATATTACTTATTATTTTTTATGTAGATTTTAAGACTTTCGTGGTTATTCACTAAACGATTATCACTAATATCAGGTTTCTTACCATGGTATGACTTCTTTTTATTTTCCCGATATTTCGGAATGGTTGCACGCTCCATGGTCACGGGTTGACTCTAATTCTAAAATAAAAAGAAGTCATACCGTGGTAAGAAACCTATTATTTTTAACTTTTTTTGTTGAAAAAAACACTAGAATTTCAAAAATAAAAATTGTATTAGATCGTAAATAATAATAATCATTTATTTCAGATAATTGCATCCATAAAACCGTTAGTAATATTTGGTACTTCCATAAGCTTCCATGTATTATTATTACTATAAGATTACTATTTAGTTATTTCTCAGCCTACTGGCTGTTTGAAACCGCACTTGATTTCGGTTCGTACGGTTTGTAAGTTCTTCCGAAATTAAGTAAATGCAGTATGGCGCGTAAAAATGCGGCGGGTATGCAATAAGAGCCGTATAATAATAAAATTTATTTACCTAGCTACATGGAATCAGGTCCACCCAGAACTTCTGGTTGGAACAATCATATTAATTGGCAAATGCTTTCAGAATCCCGTTTTGACTACTTAGCACACGGTCCAGAGGCGCAACCCTATTCCGTAATGGCATAAAAGTCATCAGTACGTTCCTGGGCGACACCCTGAAGCGCTGCAATGACGAAGGAGCCCCAACAGCATTCTGAAGGCATTATTGTAACGAACGCGGAGGGCATTGTATGCTTTTTGAATGTAATTGATGCTCTGGTTCGTGTAAAATAATTGACAGAACGCCTTAAAAATAGTAATTTTGATTTGGTTAGAGCAACTAGGAAACCTACAGGCCAATTTATTACTCCGCACTGGTTGTCCTCTCCGTTCCCGTTCGAAAGCCAAACTAACGCATTTTCGAAGTGGACAAGAGAGAAATTCGAATAAAAAACTTTTTAATAACACTTTATTCTTAAGAAAATGTACATTAAAAATAGTGTAAAATACTGAAGTGTAAAATGCAGTGTAACACATACGAGTAATCAATTACATTACATACATTATCATTGACTTTGTGCAAAGTGTAAGGCCATAACAATTGGACACTTATTGTTACAATATTATTATAATAAATATGATTTGAAATGATTATTATTTAATTTTTTGATATACCATCTTACAAAAAACTTGTGATAATACAATTACATTTTCTAGACTTCATTTTTTTAATAAATAAATTTTACTCAATTTCATCTAAGTCATAGTGTTGACTGTATTTTTTTCCGACACCCTGTATCTTTAAACACATACAAACATTTCAAAAGGGTTTTTATACCATGTTCTTAATTTAAAAGCTTAACTTACACAACTAAGTTAACGGCAGGTGGTTAAATCTTAATACTAAGAAAGATATTAAATTGTAGCAGTCAAATGTAAAACAAGAAATATATATAAAATTGCAATTAAAATTAATTGTCAACCCAAACGATTGAATGGTACCAATTCCAACTCACGTATTACTCTGCATCAACTGCATCTAAAACTGTTAGGAACGTAGCTAGTCTAAGTAATCTGTGGCTAGACGATCAAGACTATGGATCCCTGATTTGTTTTCATTACTATAGCAAAAGATTTAGTAATGCTTGGAATGGAATTGGTGCCTTCAGGCTTTGATCCATTAAGGTTTTTTGTTTAGCAATAAGTTGCCCTCTCTTGTTTCTATCTAAAATTGATAAAACAGTCATTGTATAAAAAGTAATCACTAAACCTAGATATTATCTGAAACTACAATTGACTTGGAGAATACGCGTGTAGAAAAATAGAGGTTGTATAGCGTCATTATGTATAAATATGTGCAGGTACGTGTTTCTAAATTCGTTGCTGTGTATGGCGCCAATGTTTTTAAATATTAATTTACAGTTTTGCTAGATTTTCTTTAAATAAATTCGTAAAAAAATTAAATACAAAATACACATTTGATGTAAAAAATCTTACAAGGCTTAGGAAATAAATTTCCCCCTCATCAATGTCATTGCATTCAATTTCAGATCAAAATTGAGCCATCTCATACTATCTTTGGTTACACTAAGCTTTTTTTAATAAAATAAAAAGGTACCTTAATTTTAATAAAAATTAAATATACGAAGTGGATTGTTCGCGTAACGCCGAGTCTAAAAACCAAAATTGTTTTACAAGCGGGTGAGTTAACGAAATGCGAGAGTAGTAAAAAGGAAGGACACGATACCGCTCAGGACGACGTGACTCAGCATTACAAGAATAATTACTTTATATACAAGAACACTGGATTAATGCTTTGTAAGTACATGTTGTTCATTTATTTAATACGGTGTCTACAAAGTCGACGCCAAAACGTAAGGAGTTCTAGGGAAACCCTATGTCGCGGATGCCATGGACACACATACTCAAACACAAATTACACCCAAATTCACGAGAGAAATAAATGTAGGTCATACTAATATTTCTCCCGGCCCGGGAATCAAACCCGGGACCTTTGCGTGGCAGACCAGCATAGTAACCGTTCGGCTCGGTTCGGTCGAAGGCTGTTAAAAATGTTATTATTTTAATTATGTATTAGCTACTTTAGTAAATACAATATTTCCGTTAAATTAAAATGAATCACGTTGCTGTCTATGTGCTTCATATTCATATTATATTTAAGAGCATTTATTTACATGTGGTAGTTTTTTAACCGACTTCAAAAAAAGGAGAAGGTTCTCAATTCGACTATGTTTTTTTATATGTACGTTAGGCGATAACTCCGGTATATGTGAACCGATTTTCATGATTCTTTTTTGTTGGAAAGAGGATACCTCCATAGTGGTTCCATATTATTTTGAAGAAAATTATCCTCATCTAAGGGTGGCTGTTCACGCATGAAGATTCTTTTTTATAAATAGCGCCTAAATTTAATTATAAGGAGCAATTATTTTAATGATTGATTTTGCCATTCTTCAATTCAAGGCGTTTTTCTCTCTCAATATACTTTGAGCAGTGAGAACCGATGACCTCCTGCATCAAGTCCCGTGTAGTGGCTTTTATACAGTGACCCGTATAGTGGAGGGTTACTTTCCGGTAACCGATTTCAATAAAACTTGGTAATTATATGTAATTCCACGTACTTTTGAGGTCGGTTTTTTAGTACTCTATACTGAGATTATTTACAAACATTCTTTAAGTTTATTATTTTTAGTAACAGTACTACAGACCATAGCGTGTAAAAAACGTTGATAATGATCAGCCGCTGATTACGATCGGCGGGCAGTTCTAATCTGACGACTTTAGTCATTATACTTATTTAAATTTTTATCTTTTCACAGATTTAAAAACATTTAAAAACCGAACTCTGGGCATACCAAATCTTGCATAGGGACAAAAAATCATCCACGAAAGCAATTCGTTTCGGAAAACAGAATAAACTTCTTGAGTTTTCACGCCGAGTTTATAGACACGCTGCATATTACATTACAATAGGGATTCATTGGTGAACATGTAGGCAGTGTTAGACAACTTGTTCGCAATGAATACTTACGTTAGCCGACATGTCATCCTACATTAAACACCGATTTGTCAGGAGACGTGTCGGGTGAGTTATATATTCATTAACGAATACTGCAAAACATGTTTGCTAATGAGTACAGTACTTTAGTTGTTATGTCACATTGTTTTTAGCTATTATTATGAAACATTTACCTTTCGTTGTTTTTTATAGGAAAAACGAATACACTGGCGATCTTACGAAACGATTAATGATTATCCCCTTAGCCTGACCACAGCAAATAATCTACGTACGACTAGCCCTCTCTAATACCCTTCAGGGCGTCCAGGTGGGGTATTGACCGCGGCCGTGGTCTGCTTGGAGACGACTCTCGTGCCTTGCGCCAGGCCCCCCGCTTTCACCGCGGTGAACTTCAGAAAGCTATCGATGCCGTACGCCGCCATCGCTACGAAACCGAAGAACTGAAATCGATTAATTGAAAATACTTGTTAGGGATAAATTTATAATAATTATTTATTGCACAAAGACATGACATATAAAACATTGTTATAAAGGACATATACAAAGGTGAACTTATCTCTAGAAGACACCTCTTCCAGCTAGCCCTAGCCGTGGTGTAAAAAATTAGTTTGCGGGACTAATTAATAGTACAATAAAATTAACATTCTAACCTGAATAAAAAGTATAAAATTATGATAATATACACATGACAGACATACACACATAGGTAAACTTTATATACATAAATACATACATAAGCAAAAGATATGCTATAAATATTACTTGTTTATATATTATTGTGAACACAAAAACATAAATGCGAGAACCAAAAAGACTAATCAAAACACAGCAAATCTGGCGATTGCTAACTAATCTTCTGGAAACTAAATTAGAGCGACTGGAATTTGAAAAGTACCTGTCTTTTGAAAAGACAGGTATGCTTAAATATTTTATTGAAATTTGTAGACAAACTTCTGTACGCTTAAGGGTGTAACCACAAGTATCGACTCTGAATCACATTATGCCGTGTAAGAAAAAAGCTATAGAAAGAAAGAAAGAAAAATAATTTATTTGGCAACATTTTACAATAAATAATACAAAACAAACACAATCATACATTAGTTTTGTTACCAAAACGGTCACCACTCAGCTTTTTGTAATGAGACGTTGAAGAACGCCTTATTACGCTGGTTTTCAGTGGCGCCATATATGGACAAAAAGAAAGATGGCGCCTCGTCCAAGCAGGCGGGAAGATAAAAATAAAACAAAGAAACTTACTTACAAATATAAATCAAAACTTAAAATATTAAACAAAACCATAAACTAATCCTAACATAGATACATAATAATAAAAATGAAATAAATACCAAAAATTTGATTATAATGTAGTGTAAGTGAGGTGAGTATACGTAGTGTAAGTGACGTGAGTATATGTAGTGTAAGTGAGGTGAGTATCTGCAGTGTAAGTGAGGTGATTAGTGTTAACACATTGTACAAATTGGCTCTGATCACTTTTTAAGAACTTTGCAAGCAATGCACGACTACCTTATGTATTGAGATTATAATTGAGATAATAAAAACTTCTTATAGACTAATTTAAAAGAAGCAACAGATTTATGTATATAGGTAGATACTATATGTAGGTAGATGTTCTTCTTTTTCTCTCTTATTGCATTGACATCATGCTTTTTCTCACCGGCTCTAGTCGATGCCACGTTAATACTCCCAAAACCTTACCACGTAGTTATTAGATAGTAAGAAAGAGTTAGTAACAGTAGAGCTCCTTGTGAAAGAGTTGATCCTGGGTAGTACTCCCACCTTACCCTTTTTTTTTTTTTTAATATATAATAGACACACGCTTGGCCACAATCTCACCTGCTGTTAAGCGACGATGTGACCGACGATGGGACGCGTTTGCCTAAAAAATGCCTATTCACTCTAGCCTTGAATAGCCCCAAATTGTACTTTTCGGGAAATACAGATACCGGTAGAGCATTCCATTCCTTTGCCGTACGCATCAGAAATGAGGAGGCAAAGCGCTTAGTGCGAATAGGTGGAATATCAACGACATAAGAATGCCAAGCAGTGATGTGAGCGTTACTGCGTTCCGGTTTCGAAGGGTAAAGGTAAAACTACAGGCACATGGGACTAGTCAACGTATCAGATGTATCAGAGTGTCGGGCGCAGTGGCAGTGCCCCTCAGCTCTTTGTGATCAAAGCTATAATACACTTAGATTTAAACCATCACAAAGAAAATCTCCTTCCACCCGACAGGATTCGAATCAGCGACTGTCCTTTCGACGTGGCTACCGCTTTGTTAACGGAACTTCGGATCGAGCCAGCACACCTTTCGAATGTAATTGTTACGTATAATTGTATTGGTTACAAACGACTTTATTGCCGTAGCGCCACCAGTGAAAACTAATGAAAGTTTCTTCACTCACTCGGGTACCTTTACAGCTACCGGTAAGGCTAGCACGACAGGGCGTGACAGCGACGTAATGCGCGAGATACTGCTATTCTCACATAGAGATCTTGCGGTTTATGTCGCTCTCGCGCAAGTCGCACTCTGTTGTGCTAGCCCTACAGAAAAGTGACAGAGATGTTGCTCTATCAATTGCAATATTTGTTTTATAATATCAAGTGACGGGACGAACAAGTCGTGCACCTGATGGTGGCAAGCCATGCCGTCCATAACGGCTGCAATGCCACGCAAAGAACTGAGCGCCACTGCCACTGCGCTCGTTACCCTGGGACATAAGTTGACAAATACCCTGTGCCTATTATTTCACCAGCACCCTTGCCCTTCAAAACCGGAACACGTAATGCTGACATTACTGCTTGGCGGCAGAAATAGGTAAGGTGGCAGTACTATCCTGGACGAACTCTTTCACAAGGAGCTCTACTGCTACTTATTGAATATCAACATAATAACAAACTAGTGGAATTTTCACACAAAATAGATAAATATGACGGTAGTAAAAACATCATGCTATTAAATAAAAATAAAATATTACATTGTCTTGAAATTACACATAACACTTACCGCAGCGGCAGAATAAGCGTTTTCATGCACCGTGCAGGCGAGGCTAGCGGCGATAAGGTAGAAAAACGTCCAAAGGGCACAGAAAAGAAATTCAATTTTGAGCCATGGAATCTTGTAGAACTTCTCCACGATGTGGAACAGGTAAAAGCCCAGGAGAATACCCGTGAACCAGAAGGCGATCATTGAGATCCAACTGTAGTAGGCGCCTTTCGAGATATATCTGAAGTAGGAGCTTAGGATACAGATGAAACCGAGGAGACTGCAAACCTGGAATTCAGGGATAAGTTTCTTAAATAAGGTCTAGGGATTTGAACTTGCACATAAAATGACCTATATAGTCAATATAAATTGGAAATGTATTGCTTGCGCGCTTTCATTATTTTTTTATTAAAAAATGTCAATAATTTGCATCTTAAACCGTAGCCATAAAATGGAAATTTAGTGCATAACACAATTATCGTTAATCTTAAAAAACATGTGAAATGTGGTTATTTGGGAGAGTGAAGAATACATCCGTGAACGATGTGGTTTATAAAGAGGACGCAGTGACAAAAATAGAGAAAGGTATGTTGAATTTGGTTTGGGCGCACGGACTGGATGCTTCTTCATTTATTAAATATTATTATAAATTATTCGCTCCAATATTTTCATTGTGACTAGCGGAAAGGATATCGAACGTTAGTTTTAACTTATTTCCTTATTCCTTTTTTAAACAATGGTTTAATTATACACCGATCCTATAGGTTTAATTTCATACCCTCTTAATCACACACAATCAATACACAGCATTTTTCAACATTTTTAATTATTTTTATCTAGTATTGTGGAGCAGAGGACGTTTTTATTTTCCTCTATCAAATGTATATGTATAATTAAATACATACATATTCTAGCTATATACTTAGGGTCCTATATTTTATAATTTATTATGCAAGATTTTTGATATATGTATCATATGCATTTTCCACGAAGCTTTAGTCAATATGAGATGTCTTGCTTCATTTAGGTATTAATATATATATTTTGCATTTTTTAAGTTTATAACATGTAATTTTTAAAGTGTTATAAAATCATGTGCCTCTATTTTTTGGACTCCTCCAGTATGAATTCCTTTATAACTTGTAGGTTTTTAAATACGTTACAATTTACGACACGTAACAAAGACAAGGAATGAGAGTTATGTATGAGTGAAACAAATAGGAGTATCATTTGTGTAAACAAAATGGAATAATAATAATGGCTTAACGGTTTGCCAAAGATCCACAAAACTAACGTACCATTACGACCAATAGTGTGAGTCAGATAGACTCACCCACGTTTGAATTGGCAAAATATGTGTCTCGTACACTAACACCTCTAGTAGCCACAACGAACTCCTTTGTGAAGGACTCCAGGCATTTCATTGAGATCCTAAACAGTACCACAGTTAACGAGAATGAGACAATGGTTAGTTATGACGTTGAGTCTATTTTCACAAACGTACCAATAAAGGAGTGCATCGACGTTACCAAAGTGAAACTTCAAGAAAATAACATCCCAATGGAGATTGCTCAATAAAAATTTTGAAAAAATTTTAAAAATTGCAACAATAAAATTATGGAAGAGGTACGTTGATGACGTATTTTGCATAATGGAAGGAAAGGAGCAAAATATACAAAATTATTTAGCACGTCTTAACAACACCCATAACAAAATGAAGTTCAATTGTGAAATTGAGAAAAATCGCGAGCTTGCATTTTTGGATGTATTGGTCAAAGTCCGACAAGACGGTTCACTCGGTCATTCTGTGTACAGAAAACCAGTTGGTTTACGGACAAATATTTACATGCCACTTCACATCACCACCCAAAACACCTACATTCGGTCGTCAGATCATTAACCAATAAAGCTTATGGTCTTTGTGATTCACACCACCTACCACAGGAACAGGAGCACGATAAGACGGTTTTGCGACAGAATGGATACAAAATAAAAACATTTAAACCAATACACAAAAGGAAGAAGCAAATTGACGTACAGAGACTACCAGTTTTTCTGCCCTGTGTACAAGGGGTGTCAGATAAAATAGCCAGGTTGCTAAGAAAGTTTTCCATAAAAACTGTTTTCACCCCCTTAACCAAAATAGGAAAAATGTTACGTTCACCAAAAGGCCACCTTCCTTTACAAACACCGGGTGTCTATAAAGTGAACTGCAGTTGTGGGAGCTCGTATATCGGTCAGACTAAACGAACAATTGTCGATCGTATGAAAGAACACATCCGAGCAGTAAAAAACAATGATGCACAGAAGTCGGCTATAGCACAACATCTCACACAGACTGACACTAACCACTGGATCGAGTTGCATAGCCCCCAGGTACTCTCGACAGAACGTCACTACATAACGCGGTTGGTACGTGAAGCCATCGAGATCACGAAGTACAAAACATTTAACCATGATGATGGTTTTAAACTGTCCAGTGCATGGAATCCGGTCCTTAGTGCGTGCAGTAATAAAAACAAAAATACCTCGAGTTCAGTTTCGCGTGTGGATACAGTGAGTGTGGTTTGTGTGAAAAAAGTGAGTGACAATGGTAACGCCACAACAAATCGCGATGAAGGTAGTCGTCGACAGCGCAAGAGGGTAGACAGATATGTCTGCTCTTAAAGCTGTCATCTGCCGCCGTCCAGTCAACCCGTGACCGTGGAGCGTGCAACCGTTCCGAAATATCGGGAAAATAAAAAGAAGTCATACCGTGGTAAGAAACCTGATATTAGTGATAATCATTTAAAATGGAATCGATAAAATACATTGATATTGATACAAATGATCTGAACAAAGTCAATTAATCATTATATAGGTAAAATAAATTTACCCTCGAAAACCCTAGGGATTGCTCTCTCTATGAAATACACTTTGAATCAAATTTGTGTGGAATTTAGAGTCATCTCGTCTTTCCATACATCTTTATCCAACACGTAGTCTTCAATTAACTAGCTTAATATATTGACTAGCTTAATATATGCTCCGGAATCGTATTGTAAAAACGTATACAGTTCCCCACAATAGAACCGTTCACCCTAGTTAAACGAATCATGGACTTGACCATGAGTTAGGATTTAGCTCTAAGGTTAATATTATGGACATCTTCTTTCTTAATGAAATTATATATATTTTTACGGGCATACAAAATATCTGTATTAATGTACTATGATGCCACAGTCATGATATCAGTATCCTTAAACTTTTCTCAGAGTGAAACCCGAGAACCTACACGGTATCTACACAGAACGAATCGCTCGTTTTTGCAACACAAATATTGTTTTTATGACTGCCGCTTTACCCCACATGAGAATCTCGTAAGACGTTATACTATGGAAGTAACTTTAGGACTGTCGAAAATATACCGGTTACATTTAAAATGTAAAAGGAAGTACTCCTGTTGCGTGGTTTTCTACATGGCGACACTTTCCATGGAATTTCTCTAGCAACTGCTGTTTTGAAAGAACAACTGTATCTACTCCTTTTAGCGTCTGCTTCCTCTGTTCCATAATCCAGTTTTCCTAACTTTCCTCCCAAACCGTCACACACCTTCAAGCACTTGCTACCTGAAGGGTGCAGAAGCGTCACCGTCAGTATTTAGGTACAGGGTCAAGAGCACATCAAGCTTGCCACTTAAGATTTAAATCCAACTCTATGCCACTTACGATAACAACGGTCCAAAGTTCAAAGTGTCAAGCTTGACGTGCTCTTGACTGTACAACTTGACTAGTAAGGTAAAATACGAAATGAAACTATTTTTCAGATCTAAATCGCGTTTTTTTTTTCAAACAAACCAACGTTTACAACCGAACGGAGATCTACCATTTTACCTTATGTGAGAGGTGTTACAGACAAGATCGGAAGACTCCTCAAGAGTGCGTCAATCAAGACCTGTTTTGAGCCCCTGAGGAAGATTTCTCAGTCCTGAGACCCGTGAAGTAACATCCCCTTACAGGATGCAGGAGTTTACAAGCTTCACTGCGAGTGCGGTCTCTCTTATATTAGACAAACGAAGCGAAGTATTTGTACCCGCAGCAAAGAACATATAGCTGATGTCAAACACACGTAAAATAAGTCTGCGGTCTGCGAGCATGTCATGGATAAACCTGCACACTCAATTAAGTTCGACGAACCCCAGGTCCTTTCAAAAGTCCGTTATCTACCCAAAATGCGGTGAGAGGCCATTGAAATTATAAAAATATCCTAATTTATAAGTTTCTCCATACTACCAGTTTGGGATCCAGTATTTCCTCTGATGAAGGAACCCAAGCAGACATTCCAATCCATTCCAATTACTATTAATAATTAATAACAAAACTTATAAATAATTTAAAATGTTAAAATAAAATAATTTGTAAAACATATGTTGCGTAACTTGGAATGTTCTTTACTTTAAACGAATGCGTTTTGCTGTCAACGCTGGGATACTTTTACTGCGGCGGCACAATTCTTCAATCTCGAGGACCACTGCAATTGGACCTACCACATTGGACCCAATGTTGTCCATTCCGAAAATCAAGAAAGTCTGCACTACTTATACTACCGCAAGTAACGAGGCAATGCATCACATTACTTCCAGTTTCATTAACTAATTAGCAATATCGCACACTGCACGTATTTTAAGACTACCTTATTATGGGAAACATGCGAAGCGTGTACAGTGAGTTAGGGTGTAAGGTTTCTGGCCAAATTAGGTTTTGGGGTCAAAGGGCTGGTGGCCTGAATCTTCGCGGTAGCCGTCGTGGCGTTTACGGGCAATGTGGCTGCAAGCAGTATCATTGATCTTGACACTCGAAATTATCTATTGCCTAATAGGTAGCTTGATCAGTCATTTAAAGCTGATTACATACAACATAACTACAAGTTTGAAGAACACGAAGTATGTTTATTAAAAGGAAAGATTTAATCTGTATGGAAAAATGTGAGAATTTGTGTAGTTACATCATGTGGGCTTCTTTATAAGTAACGCTAGGATGTTGGTTATCTATAAATGAGACAACGGTGTTTCATCTTAACGCGCGTGTTTTACACGTAAAGGCAAAGACCCCCAACGTAGTTTATAATGACCTTAACAACTCCATGTGCGACTATGTGCCGCAGCGAACAGACGCCAGAGAAAGAAAATAAAAATCTATTTCTGGTTAAAAGAATAAACCCCGCGTTGGTTATATTTACGCGGTACAACCACACGCGACGCCGCGGTAGGCAGGCCTTTCCAAGAATTGAATCTCGCTTTTAATAGTTATTAATTCAATAGTTATTTTATTATATTATATTAACTTATTATATTAGAGATCGAAATATCCAGAATATATTTACCTAAACTTTAAGGAAGCAATTCATATAAAATCGATTACACTTGCCTCTGAAATTCCGGAATATAAACGATACGAAAATATAGATTTTTGTTTTACGTATATTTATAAAGTGTAACTAGCAATTACTTCACTACGGTATAGTGTATGTGGAAAAAAAAGTTTTAAATAGAAAAAAGAAAAAACAAATAGGTATAACAATTTTTCTATGATTTTATTTTGAATCCTTCCGGGAGGGCAGTATTACCCAGTCGACGTGTATCACTTGAAGTATAGATAAATAATAATATATTTAGCGCACATGGGATTTAGCCCAAACAATAACTAATTGATGATCTATTAGCAGAGTTGAAAACGACACGGGCTTACACGGGACAAATATGAACCAAAAAGTCTATGCCGTACTAAAGTATAAATGAAACATTTTAAATAATTAAGTATTGTGTATTAACCATGTTGATCTATAAACTTTTGCCATTTAATATTTCCCTTTCGTAAAAGGGTAATTTTCAGATTATTTTTCTCTACCTCATTTTGGGGACAGTTTTAATTTGAGTATTCGAGTTTATTATCGTGAAATTTCAACTATTGTAATTTTTTATGTATTTTAGTTATTTATTTTATTGTAATTAAGTAATACTTAATTATTCGAGTGTAGCATCCTGAAATTCTAGCAGCAGTAGAGCTCCTTGTGAAAGAGTTCGTCCAGGAAGTACTGCCACCTTACCTATTTCTGCCGCCACGGTGTAATGTGAACATTACTGCGTTCCGGTTTGGAAGGGTAAGGGTGCTGGTGAAATTACAGACACATGGGACTTGTCTGTCATGTGAACGTATGTCTGATCTTTACGATTCAAAGCTCTGATTGGCACTGCAACTGTTACCAATAGGCGTGTCGCTCATCACCAGGCGCACGGCTTGATCGTCTCGTCACTTGGTATTATAAAAAAAATTAATGGTAATATTCTAAAATATTGAAACAATAAAAATTGCCACCGAAATTAGGTCAATAAAACTAACCTGAAAATTACCCAAAAATTTCTATCTTATAACATACAAATGGTCTCTTCGTTATGAAAGTCATGTCCAAAATCTGAAAGGGCTATGTCAGGCGAATACGTTGGATGAAGTAACACATCACAACTGAACTCTAATCGTTTTAACGGTTCTGTAAAGGTATACTTATGTGGTTGAGCATTATCATGATGAAATACGACACCTATATACGATTCACCAGTTTTGGGTTTCCATGAATTATAAACTTAAAATTTTCCCGCCTACTACCATGCATGTGGAATGCAACATTTAAATAAAAAATCTTTTTTATTGTTTAAACTTAGACTTGCTAGCTAAACAATTGAATATTTCGATGTCCGATAACCATAGTTTCTTTACTACGATTAGATAACTGTAGAAGTGGAACGAAAGCCGCTATTATAAAGGCGTGTACTATGTGAGTGTGAATGCCGATTACGCGAATGACGATTGTGCGAAGACGGTTGCGCGAAAGCTTACTTGCGCGAAAGCTTACTTGCGCGATAGTTCGTTTGACGATAGCGCGAAGACAGATTTGCGAAAGCTGGAGGGCAAGTTAATTATTGCAAGTACTCCCACGGCTGCAGGTTGTTGCAATTCTTAGCAGTGCAAAGCTTCCATAATAAATAATACGTTTATTTCGTAAAATTTTTATTTAAATTAACCAAACAAAATATAAAAATCTTTAATTACAATCAATCAAAAAAACATTATCGAAAATTATAACGGGGTTTGTCCGAATTGCAACAACCTGCAGCCATGGGAGTACTTGCACCAATTAATCTGCCTTACAGCTTTCGCAAATCGGTTTTCCTGCTCGTCATTCGCGCAAATGAACTGTCGCGCATTCAAGCTTTTGCGCAACTGACCATTCGCGCAAATGAACTATCGCGCATTTAAGCTTTCGCGCAACCGTCATCGCACTATTATCATTCGCGTAATCGGCATTCGCACTCAAGTAGCATACCAATTATAAGGGAAAGTGGCTACATAGCAAATTTTACGACGTACTTATGTTATATATAGATATTAAGTGTTGTGTAACATTTCAGTCGTAACGGAATAAGTCGTGCCACCTTAGTTTCCAACGCAACATTCTCTGGTAATCGTCTTTACCTTCTTTATGCATCTCATATGAATATAACTCGTTGATAGGAGGAAACTCAAGCTAGACCTAAAGGTGCTAAAGCCCTGAAAAAATTACGTACCCAATGCTAATTCCGGACAGTCGGAAGGGGGCAATATGTAAAGTGTTGTAAAGTTTGTAAAATACCGATAAAAGGGGCGTGTTCGTTCATCTGGTAAAATAAACACCGATAACGCGAATCGGTAAACAGCGTCCATAACTTAATCACAATCAGCATAATGACACCACCGGCCCGGCCGGCGCGCGGCCGTTGAATTCACATGCTCGTGACGTCACAGGCGGCCGTCCGTGCCGATTGACCGGCTGATAATGGCAATCGATAACTGAGAAGGTCGTTTTATTATACATAGAATTGGCTTAGATTTGCATTTTCAGATTATGACAACTATTAATAGTAATTGTAAGTCAATGGGGTCCAAACACGTTTATTATATTGTGTATAAATCATTATGTATTTATTGGCAATTTCCTATTGACCAGTTCAGCTTGAAGAAAATTCGAAATTTTTTTTTATTCATTTTGTTAGGCAATTTTCAAAGAAATACACAACTTCAATAAGCAGATATGGTAAGTCCTCTATTTCGTAGAGGTCCGTGTAGGGTATAGGCTATGTAAATTATGATTCCAATTGGACGTACGTTGGACGAGATTTAATTTGTCTAAGATCTCTGAGTGGCAACACATTGAATTTCACATATTTTGAGTTACAACCTTATTGCAAAAGGAGTGCGATATGTGTATTGGTTATATAATTTTTATTCATATTTACGTTTTATTGTGACCTATTGTAACATTGAAAAGTAAAAATCGTGCATTCTCTACGTGGGCGTTGTTTGCGGAGTGGCAAATCTAAATCTCTACAATTATTTCAATAAAATGAATGAATAGGTACTCACGACTTGTACAGCTTTGAGAAAGCCAGGCAATGTTTTTAAGTAGGAAGGGTCGAACCGTATATTCGTCTGCACGGTGGTGCTGGAAGTCACTGTAGTGGTGGTTGTGTGTTGCCCCGGGAAACCCACTTCCGCCATTATTGTTTATTGCTGGAATAAAAACAACACCTAACAATCATCTAACAAAGCCACTATTTCCGCGTTTTTAAGTATAATATAACATATAAATGGTTTAGTTCATTCTTTATTATTTTTTACCTATATTTACGTAAAAAAACCATAAGAGTATGGAAACTGAACCGAATTGGATAAAAATAAATAACTAATTTCTGAACAAATTGGCTTTTACGCCTTTCTGTCTTGTACTATATTTTAACTAGGAGACATCCACAGACATATCTAGATATAATGTATGAAAAAATTGTAGATATCGTCTGTACTGTGGCAAGATTTGATGTTGCAATAAATTAATAACAAATCAACCATTTCTTAATTAGCATTATTATTTTATTACAAAAGCCACACAAATAGTTAATCAACTTGATATTGTTATTACGATATGAGAGCCAATAAGTCACTCTTAGGGCTTTTACATGGGAAGAAAAATGCCAGTAGTTCTATCAACAGAACTAGTGGGAGTAATATATGCACAAAAATATGATAACAGTGATATATGTTGGTTGATAATGGTTGTAATTCTATCTATTTGATAAATGGACACGAAGATTACTACGGGTCGTTTATTCAGTCCCCCATTTTTAAAAAAAATTCAAACTCACATAGATCCCTATATTAATTTTAATACTTGATTTAAATACAAACCAGAAATGTTGTATAAGAAGAAAATTTCCAAAGTATCAGGTTTCTGAAGTATTAGCTGGCTATTTGCTATAAATATTCTTGTAGGTCATCCATATCCAAATCAAGACTCAAGATAACCACGCATACGCAAAGCCTGGGGTAATCCTAACACATATGTACCTTATAATAAAAGAGTATTAGTAAAGAGTAGAGTACTATATCTGATACTCTTAAATTAAAGACTAGACAAGCCCATGTCCAGCAGTGAGCGTCTTTCAGCTGAAATGATGATGATGAGATTGAAAACTGTGAATTCAAGGCACTATAATGTTTGTTTATTTTTTATTCAACCTTATTACATTATTAGACATTGACACTGTTTGTTAACTATTTGAATTGTGCTATTAATGTGTTATTTAGATATAATGTACCCATTTAGCTCACACTTTATTAAGGTAGTTAAATAAACATGTTAGGCTGCTACCAGATGGACTGCAAGTCTGCAGTTAATGCATGCAGTTGAGCATGCATGAAATTATTATTTCATTACTAAAACCTACCTGATATGAACAGCTAATTAATTTGCTAATATTTTTATGATGTGAATGCCCATATATACATTTTTTGTGCATGTATATTACATACATGCACAAACAAGTATGACAGAAATAAAAAACTGTCTAATGATAAAATATCACTTGCCATCAATCTATTTGATAAAGAAGTTTGAAGAGCATCACATGATAAAATACAAAGAAACTATGACTATTATGTACTTCCACAAAGGAACTACTAGCTATTATACTTACAATGTCTAATAAAATTGCCAAGTTATTTTGTAATGGCAGAGGTGTTTTTGTCAGTGCAGTCGAACATGATGAATTTACTTGATATGCATCATTTAAAAAATTTACTCTACTTCTCCGTATCAAGTATGTACCTAAATTAAGGCGACTGGTTGCTATATATGTTCATTTCCTATTTCCTTTATAGTATGGGTACCAAAATTGTAAGCCAATAATTTGCGTTTTCCTGTATACTTATTTTAGATATTTTTTTATATGTATTCTAACCTTTACCATGGCTTAAAGACCAATATTGAAAGGTGAGAGGTAGCAATACTCTAGCAATGACAATGGACATGGGTTAGTTATTCATGCTTAAGAACCGGCAAATGATGATTAGTATTTGAGTGGGTTATACAGCCCTTCACCACTAAAACCAGCACTGATTACCTACTACTCAGAACCAGATCAACAGATTCATGCTTTCTGATCAAAAACACTGAATTTTTCCAAATGATAATTAAAGATAATAAAACAATGGTCGACACAACAATATGTTTCACCCTCAAGATAAAAGATTAAGATAAAGCTGAGATCAAATAGATAGTCAGGCATTATTTCTGTAAGAAATGTTTTTTATGATTTAAAATGATTTTACTCAATAAACTTTAAGAGCTCTCATGCCAAAAAACTCTTGACGTTGGCTCCGCCCAAATTTGTAAAACAAATATATGCCTGAAGTTCGCGTGACGTGCGATAGGAGAATTTGCGCATTAAAAGTACCAAATTCGTTTTAGTGGAATAACTCTAAAACTAAAGGGATTAAAAAAAAATCCATGGTGATAGTTGTCGATCATGCATAAATATAATTAATTATCTAATTTTTGTCCTAATAACCTGTAGCATTTCGAGGATAAATCGAAAAAATGTGAAAATTAGAGGTCATTTTGTGTTTTTTATCTATAGAGGAAACTTTATTGTTATATGTTTCTGATTAATGTCTATGCTTGAATATATCGTGTAATTACTCATACAATATTTGATTTTTAATTTGATAGTGGATATACCCCTCTAAAATCAAATCGAAGGTTAGGATTTTTTCCTCTGCTCCCTCTTAAGTTACAAGTAACAAATGCTTATCCATTGTAAGTGATGATACTGAACCACGCTAGTTAGCTAACATTCCAAATTATGCAAGAACTTATGACTTGAATATAACAGGCTTATGTGCGGCCGTATTACCTCATATTTCGCTTTTTAATACGCCAAAAAAGGCTTTAGAATGCCACTGACCGGCATGTATTGTACCAGCTTCTAATATAAATGGTTCTAGAAAACTTGAAAGAAAGAAAAATTAAAAGCTGCATGTCACGGAGCTCGGCCTATGAAGTAAGTGCCCTAAAATCCCTATGTACTAAAACGCGGATAGTTTAAAATCACCATGCCGCTGTCACCACCTAAAATAGCAATTAATAGACTATACACAACAGAAATAAACTCCACGGAATGAGATCAATATCATAACAATACACTTACGTTTATTAAAAAGTAACTGATAAAACACACTTTTCTTTAACAACACTACAAGAATGCTAAACAATTGAAACACGAATTATTACTTCCAAAAATTATATCAGTGACGAAATATCAAAGCACAACTGACGAACTCGCCTTGCCTTGCCAATGCCATGAAATCGTTCGTAATGTCAAAATTAAATCAAAAGTCGTAAACAAGTCGAACGTGAAATCTGTTTGACATACTGTGCTACGTTTGCTTACGTTAAGTCGAACATTCGAAAGTAGTATGCGTCACAAACTCTTAACACCGCGTTCACAATATCGTCGATTGTTTCGACGAATGCTTCGTCGAAACAATCGCCCGCTCAACCTTGGTGGAATAAAACGAATCTAGACTCACGGAAGCAGATAACTGCCATCAAAGAATGAGATTTAGCCACTGCAGAATTCCTGCTCACCTAAAGAGATTGAAAATCCTTCAAAATGATAAATGTCCCCATTGTACCGACGAAACAATCGACTTACAACTATCATTTTCACCTGTTCAATACCGTTTTCATCGCCTAATACTTGTGGCAGAAATAAAGGACCTTTGTGTAGATGACAGTGATAGGTATTCCAAAAAACGTTCAATCGTTACTCTCAAGAAAAAATTTATTTAAACCAATATGTAACTTTATATCTAACACTGTGAACGAAATTTAAAGTGTTTTCGTTTTACTTTCTAAGGGTCGTATTCCAGAACTCTACTCAATGTTTAAGTCAGGATTTGAGTATGATTTAAAGCACTAGAAATCACACTCAAGTCCTTGCCATTAGGGTCGTATTTCCAGTGCTTGAAATCATTCTCAAGTCTGCTCAAATCCTTACTTGAACATTGAGTAGAGTTCTGGAATACGACCCTAAGTGTTATATTTTCGTTATGAAAGTGATTATTTTGACGATTGGCTTAAAATGTCAAAGTACCCAGAGCCGTGAAAACCAATAAAATAGTCCCATGGAATTAATAAGTACTTCGTACAACTGGAAAGCTCACTGCAATTATTTTGACATATCAAAATGAACGTTAAATGAATAGCAATAAAATACTTTTTAAATAACCAATATCTCCTTAGAGATCTGAGCTCAAGTGAGACATCTTCTTTCTTGGTGTGTCCCTTTCGCACAATTGCCATGTGAGATATTTGATACAATACGGTAGTTGACTATAAAAAAAAATTGGCATAAAAACAATACGTCATTTTGTCCATGAATATTATAAGATGTTTGTAAATAATACCATACCAACTATGAATGCAATAGGTCGCAAATAAATCAAAGTCTTTATATTATTTAACGATATTTAAATATTATTGGAAAGTTTTATTTGTTTTACATTAGGCAACACTAAAATAATATGGCGTCATCTCTGTTTGTTAGTCAGAAAGAGACGGACCAAGATTTATGACATCTCGCTCGGCGCACGCTTCAATACACAGTAAGCCTTCCAGTTGTACGAAGTACTTATTAATTCCATGAATAGTCCCTATTTTATTAATGGTTTTGACTTAGATACAAGTCCTTTGAGTCATGTCTTCGTTTAATTATCGGATACTCAGTAATATTCCATTGTAGTTCTAATAGATTGTTTTCTATTTCTCTTAAATAACTTAGTTCACTTATTCAGTTTTTTACATGGTTTTTTAAGCGGCGGTAGTCAATATTTATGTTTCACTTGCACATAGATCACTTTATCTTCTATCACTTTGAACAAAAACTTTGAATTCGTAATTAGTGGTATTTTCAGGATAAAGTCTTTTGTAATTTGCTTTCAGTTAAGATATAGTTCTAACTTTCTTCATCGCTATGTTTTTCTTCATAATATACTTAAAATAAAATTAATAATCTTTGTAAATACTATAGTTGTAACTTCAAAAGCCTGCCATTTCCTTATTCGTCCCGCTTCACATATACCACAGAGTACTTTATATATAAATAAGCTGCTAGCGATAATACGTAGATACAAAATGGATTGGAGTAATGCGCGGGTCTTGTATTTTCTAGAAC